AAAAAAAAAAAAAAAAAAAAAAAAAAAAAAAAAAAAGCCAAGTGACTGGTATAATCTTTCAGTATTTTAATCACTAGCCTTGAAATGAGGCTTCCAAAAGCATTGCCTCCCACTCTTTCTTTATACAAATATCCCAGACTAGCAGGATATTCACTACTTAGATGATTTTATCTTGCACAAGTCAATTTTGTTTTGTTATGGTCATCCAAAATGTTATGCTGGGGAACCCTATTAATTTGTCTGCATTTCAGCCTTTTGGTTTCAAGGGGGAGAAGTGAAGCAATTTTGGGGATTAGGACAGATCAGTTAGCTGCACCTGGTAGGCAGGTCCATGTGGACACTAACACTGCAGTTCTCATATTACTGGAATCCATTCACTGTTGTCAAACTGCATACATTTTGCCAAGTTCTGTAGTCCTGTGTCTGACAACTTCTCTATTGACCTTCTTTTAGTTGGTTCATCTCACCTGAAATCTCCACTTGGGTCCATGTGGAACAGAGACACTAATGTGGAAGAAAAGGCTAGTGAGCTTTGTGCAATGATGCTTTGCACAGACATTGAACACAATGTGAAGCTTAATATTTTGCCTCTTTAAAGGTTTATTTTTAATATTTGTGACCACTTGGGGAGGGGGGAAGTTCATTTAAAAATCATAAATTGTGTGTCAAAATTTAAGCTTTAAACATATATGAATCCAGAGTAGGGAGGAATGTAAAGCATGAATCTAATAAAAGCCAAATCCTGTATCTGAATTTTTTTTAATGATTGTTGTGCACTTCAGAGATGCTACTATAATAAAGAGAATGTATCTTGAAATGAGAAATGATCTTGTTGCAGGTAGACCAAGATCAGTGCAACCTGTTATTCTCCAGCTACTTCACTGGTGTCTCCAGTGTGAACTTCAGTGGTATAGCATCTATACTAATCAAGGGATTCCTACTCTCTTCTGAACCTAATTCAAGATTGTTTGAATTTTGATATGGGTTTGCTCTGGCAACAGGAACACTGTTTGTTCTAGCAGTATTGCAATAGAAATAGCAATGGAATAACTTGGTATGTACATATGGTGGCATCTTGTGTCATAAGGTGCCAAGGGAGAACTGGCTGTAGAGAGAAGGCACCAAGCCTCAGCCCAGGAGCTGCAGGCTTCCCTAGAAGAAGGTTTTCCAAAAAGAGGAAATGTGGATTTGAGCAGTGTTTTTATGGATGTGGTTGTTTTTGTGCCCCCCCCATCATCTTTTTCCATTAGAAAACTTGTTGCCACAAACTCTCTTGTTTCATGGGTGTTACCCATTGTAACATGGATCATTGTAATGGCATGCTGTTCAGTATTTTGTAGTGAAGCATATTTAACCTTGATGTGTATTCTTCCCTCCTTGTGTAGACAAGCCTTAAAGTATCAGCTGCTTCCCAGAGATGCATAAAGAAGCTGCTCTAGTCCTCTTCCACAAGAGGAAATCCAGATCCAAACAAATTGAGAGGAAAGGGGTCTCCCTAATGCAAGAAGTGACTCCTTTTTTGGACTTTTTTTTTTAAAGTCCATTCTTTACATAGGCTCTGCATTGTTGGAGCTGGTTCCTTCTTAGTTGCATTTCTTTGGCACTCTAGTGTGTTTGTGGGGGGAGAGATGTCAAAAGTCATTTGAGGAAAGGATTTTGTAGGGTAATATCTCTTCAGGTCACGTGATTCTTGGAGAATATTTTGCAACTTTTTTTGAAAGAAGGTAAT